TAGGCATAGAAAAGAGCAAGTGTTCCCACTGAAATCTATAACTGAACCCTATCAGCCGCGGCCAGCACAGTCGATTAACTGTTTGGTCACTCAGGGGAATTCTCAGGGAGTTAGAAATAAAACATAAACATACAATTTACCTTTAACCAAGCTCTGGGATGGCTCCTTTTTCTCTCTGCCTCAAGCTGTCAGCGGGGGAGCGAGGATCTACACAAGAGGCTAGTGAGATACAGTGAGCACGCTTTGGAGTGGGCTTTTATTGGAGAACTCTAAATTCTGGGGAAAATCCTGTCCAATGAAGGTCAAGGGAGGCAGTGTTGCAAGGTCAGGTGAAGTGATTGGGTCCCTAGGGTTGAGGAGAGACATGCCGCTACATGAAGACACCATCCTCAAACCCAAGAAGGGCAGGGCAGACTAGTGGCATTTCTGCTACCCTACGCCTCAATCACCCAGCTGGGGAGTGACTCAGTCACGTGTGAGGTTGGTCTCCCACAGAACCCTATCATCCAAATATTCCTTTAAAAAAATTTTTTTTTGGAATGCTGGAGATTAGGACCAGGGCCTTGCCTGGCTCTACCACTGAGCCATCCTCCCAGCCCCACTTCCTATGTTTGAAGTAACAATTACAGTGCTGCTTTCTCACACAGTTGTCCAATGGAGAAATCAGAACTGCCTGGTTGATTTTCTCACTGTCCCTGTGGACATCAATGTTATGCCATTTCACAGAATGGGAAGCCAAGGTCCTGAGAGGTTGTAGGACTTGCCCAGTCTCAGGCTCAATGTGAGAGAGCCAGGACTTGGACACAGAACAATCCAACAACAAGCCTGCTTTCCATTACATCTGCAGCTTCACACAGTCAGAACTTGGCCTCACTGTGCTTGGGGAAGGGCACTCACTTAGCAGATACCTCTATCCATCTGGGCTTTCTGGGGCAGAAAGTAGGAGAGAAAATTCTTAAAACAGCAGGGGAGCTGCACACTGGTCATAGGAACCTCATGTCTTGAAAATATTCTTCCATCTCCCCTTTGCTAAATGGCCTGCTGCCAGCCTCCCAGCCATTAGCTTCCTGATGTTCTCCAGGCCACTGCAGACTATGTAGTGGTGGCCCCGGCTCTTGGCCAGATCAGCCAGCAGCTTTCCCTGTGGCTCCAAAATGACTACCAGTTTCTTGGCAGCCATGAGGCTAGAGCTGGAGAGCTGCTGCCAGGAGAGGCCTGGGATGGTGGTGGCACCGGTTTGAGAAAAATGTTATTGTTCAAAGATAATACTTTTTCTTTCTTTTTTTTT